ACTAAGCATGCCACAGCCATGAAGACATCAGGGACCCCAATTTCAGACACTGCTCTCCCATCTACTTGTCACCGCTCTTCACAATGCCGAATACAATGTAAATGCTACGTAAATAGTTGTAATACTATATTGCTTAAGGAATAATAAGAAGGATACAAGTCTGTACATGTTCAGTACTTATGAATCCCCCCCCCCCACACACACAAGTATTTTCTGTCTGTGATTGGTTGAATCTGAGGATGAAATCCATGGATACAGAGAGCCAACTGTATCCAATAAGTGATAGCTGTATGTTTCTTATAAAGGTTTTACATTTATTTTCAATTCTTTTTCTTGAGCAGTGTGAGGAATTTAGACCAAGAGAATTAGGATTCTTGTATGTGTAACTTTTAGGACAGGGTTAACATGGTTTTGAGGTAAAAGGCTCTCATACCATGACTGGTGGGTGTGAGGTTCTTTAGGGGCTGCAGGGTAGCTTATTAGAAAGTTGTAGTGTTAGGATTTTTAATGCAGCCTCAAATAAAAGGTATAGTGTTAAGTTTTAGGGCAGGCTCAAATATATGAATATACATGAATCTCTGAGGAGTAATGGTGATATTGTGAGGGAAGAACAGCACCTAAAAAAATAAAAATAAGTGTTGGTCGGATATAGTGGTGCACCCCTGTAATCCTAGCAGCTGGGGAGGCTGAGGCAGTGGATGCATGTTCAAAGCCAGCCTCAGCAATTTATTGAGACCCTGTCTCAAAGTAAAACATAAAAAGGATGGGGATGTAGCTTAGTGGTTAAATGCCCCTGGGTTCAATCCCTGGTACCAAAAGGAAGAAGAAGAAGGAAAAAAAATAGAAGTGTTAACATTCATCTAACTGTTTTCTTTCTGTTGGTAATAGATTTGTAATTATCACACTGAAATTACTGGTAGAATTTAAAAATTTTTAAAATCTATTTCTTGGTCTTGGTAACTCATTTGTTCTTCATCTCTACATTAGTAATATTGCTTGAAAAAGGCTTAATACTTCAGTACAGTTTGAAACTGTTAGAGGTTGCTCTTTCCCCCCAAAGGGCACATTAAATAATGTACCAGATGCTGTTTATCAGTTGAGTAGGAGCTTTTGAGTACCATCCCATCTGCTATCTTTGCTTTATGTACTTTTAAATTTTTACAAGATCAGGGTCATCTTTCATATTTTAACTTATGACATTTGTTACTATATTCTGCCCCAAATCAGTGTTTGAGTTGTAGAAAAATTGGGCCAAGTCATTTATTTTAGTTAGTGTATCTAATTGGACCATTCATTCAGATTTCTCTGAAAGGTTTTCTTCTCTTACATGTACTTGAAATAGGTAGGCCACTGGGGTCTGTGTCTGTATATATTTGTGTGCATGAAATATAATTCCTGGTAAATAAAGTCTCTTTACCATGAAAAGAGTATTTAAACTCATCATAGCCTATATTTGTCATAAATATCTTAATTTTAATCAGGCTGCATTTATTTGTTATTGTTGAAGAATTCAATCTTTCACGTAATAAAATCTGTAATTTCTTTTCTGAAGTAGCAGTAATAGTCTCTTGACTACAACATCCTCAGAAACTGTATATTCATTTATTGGTTATTCTTGTGGAAGGAGAATAACCTTCCCTGTCCCCACAAAGTCACTCATTTTCCCTCTTGCCTCTTGGCTTTCACAAAGATTTCTGTATACATCAGTATTCCAGTGGTACCTTGTTCATTTCTAAAAACCTAAAGTGTGTGAAGAAGTTGTGCCTCACATTTCTTTTTTTCGTATTGGGGATTGAACTCAGGGGGTGCTTAGCCACTGAGCCACACTCCTCGCACTTTCTTGTATTTTATTTAGAGACAGGGTCGCACTAAGTTGCTTAGGGCCTTGTAAGTTGCTGAGGCTGGCTTTGAACTTGGCATCCTCCCATCTCAGCCTCCTGAGCCTCTGGGATTACAGGTGTGCGCACTGCACCCGGGTTGCCTCACATTTGTTGAGCATATGAGCTGCTCTCATTCTTTGAGAATCATCTTTTGTCTCCTCAGAACCTAACCCTAATCCTTTAAATAAAGCACTGATTTGCTGATGCTGTTGTGGTGTTGTTGGGATGAGTTTTAAGTAGCTTCTTTAGTAGTCGCAGACCACTTTTCTTTTCACTGATAGTGTTTTGATTGCTGACTAGATTCATTTCCCTATATCCTTTTCCTAAAATGGTAGGAAAATAGATAAGATTCCTGCGTTGTATTGGAGGTTGGATCACATGATTTCTAATTTCCATTTAATTTAATTCTAATTTCCATTTATTTAGAATTGATAACTATATTTCACTTACATTTTTAATTTTTAATCAAATTTTACATTAAAAAACCATTATATCAAAATGTGTAGAAAATTATACTGAGATCTCCATTATTTCCCTAAGAATAATAATTTAATAATTTTTATCCTTTAGTATTTTATTGTGTTAATATATATGTCTATGGATGAATATAGACATGCACTTATCGGAATGTTAAGCAACTCTTTAAAGCAATACATAT